TGTTAGAAACCCAGGTTAGCTTCACTGTAAGTGAATCACATGCCAATCCTTCAACCAGTTCCTGGGCCTAGAGGATTGGGGTGGGAGAGATGATGCTCCAAGAATCAAAGTCTGAATCCAGGCGTAGAGGCAGCTCACTCAAATCACATGAGCTGAGAATGGTCGCGGGGTGTTTCCCTATCACGTGGATGTGGTTGCCAGAAGAAATGATTGGTGTTGGGCAGCGCACCTACCTAAGGAGACACTGCCATAGTTTAAGGAGAGAAGACAGGTGGAATCTTAAGTAGGGCAAACAAAGCCATAGCCATGGTGAGTTGATTCCAACGCACAGTGACCCTCTGTTTTCAAGTGCCATCGAGTCAGTTCTGACTCATAGAGACCCCGTGTAGGGTTTCTGAGGAGCAGCTGGTAGATTAGAACTGCCAACCTTGTGGTTAGCAGTTCAATGCTTATCTAATAGCACCACACGGCAAGTCCAGAGAGGCCCTATAGGGCAGGTTATAATCTTTATGGAAGCAGAATGCTATGTCTCTGTCCTGCAGTGGCTGGTGGGCTTGTTGAACTGCAGACCTTTTGGATAGTAGCCAGGTGCTTAATGTTGCACCAGCAGCATACAATGGAAAACTAGGACAGTATTACTGAAAGAGAGGGGGAGAATTTTAGAGATATGTGGAGTCCTGCGGTGTTGCGGTAGGTAGGGTAAGCGCTCGACCATAAGGTTGGTTTGAAATGCAAGTTCGGCAGTTCAAACTTACCAGTAGCTCCTCGGAAACCCTATACAGAGTCAATATGGGTCTGAACTGACTCAATAGCACTTAACAACAGGAATTAAAAATGACAAGACCTGAGGTGAGCAAGGGAGCAGGCATCAGATGACACTAACTCTGGCTAAGAGATCAGTGGCTGTCTGAGAGACTTTAAAGGGAGAAAGAGAAGGAGTTTGTGTGTGGATTCTGAGGTATTATGGGATCTTAGCTGGAGACATCCATCTGGTGTAGGCTGGAGTGATGAACATGGGCTCAGCGGCTATAGGTGGCGGTTAGTCATGGGAATGGGTGAAAATGAGCCATGAATACATAGAGAAGAGGACCAAGGACCCAACCCAGTGGATGCCATTTGAAGGGCGTGCTCCAAGAGGTAGTTGATAGTATCAAATGCTACAGGTAAATACAAAGTAAACTGGATCCATCTGATGGCTACTGGCTACTTTGGTGAGGACTATTTCATTGGAGTGTTATGGACACAAGGCAGGATTGGGAATGGAGGATGGGATGGGGCTGAGGAAGAGTCTTTGAGGACATCCTCTGAACTAAGTAGGCTGTGTAGGTCAGATGGGCTATACTTCACAGTGCCTCTGCCTGTAACTAAGTACTTGAGTCCTGGTGTGGTGCTGTAGGATAAGCACTGGACTGCTTACCACAAGGTCGGTGGTTCAAACCCACTAGTTGTTCCTTGGAAACCCTATACAGGGTCACTATGTGGGAACCAAGTCCACAGCACTCAATGGTAAAAACACAGTCATGTTGCTTTCGTTTTAAGAGTATTCATGTCCAATGACTAAGCTTTTAAAATAACGGATTTCGTGACAGGAGCAAAGGGTCTCCCTTCGGTGATTGACTAGAAAGTTGCAGCAGCTGAGATGAGGCAAACTCTTACGAGCTTGTGGGACTCGATGTTCTCACACTCTACAGGAGGGACAGGGCTCCAGGGTCCTCCTGTGTTAAGGGTGATCTAGAATTTAGACTGTGGACTATAAAACAAAGCCTTCAGTTCATCACAGAATCCTAGTGGCCGTCAGCATCTGATTTGCCTCGACACAACCAAGCAATACAACTCTTCTCATTAAAAAAATAAAATGGTGAAGTTCTGTGCACATACACACAGCCTAGAGATGCTCACCCTTCTAGAGTCTTTGTGTTAGTTTAGTTTGACTGGATTTTGGGGGTTCTTGCATTGAGTAGGAAAAGCAGCGTGACCCAGTCCCCTTGCCCACCTTTGTCACTCACTAGTTGGGTGCCTTGGGCAAGTTCAGGTTGTATGACCATCTGTAATGAGAAGACTATCAGCCATCCCCAGCTCACAGCCCTCCCTCCATACTTGGTTCATTCCTCCTCCTCCTCCTTGAGCAGTCAAGTCACTTCCAACCCATAGTGACCCTGGATATGGGGTTTCCAGGAATCAGCTGGTGAGCTTGAAACCCAACCTTGCTGTTCAAACGGACTGTCTTTCCTTACTGGACCAACAATGCTTGTACAAATGCTTACTAAACTGCAGAGCATGAAGGATGGTAGTCTTTAAACGTGCTAAGTGCTGTTTGAGTGGGTTCCAACTCATAGCCATCCTGCACAGGGTTTCCAAGAAGTGGCTGATGGCTCTGAACTGCCAATCTTGTGGTTGGTGGTCCAGTGTTTATCCCACAGTGCCCAGCACTGTATTTACGACAAATCCCAAGGCTCAGTTTAAATCATCACTCTTCTTTCACATACCTGAGTTTTCTAGTGCTGTTAGAACAGAAACTGCACAAGAGGATGGTTTCAACAGACAGCATTCTCCCCGTTTGAGAGGCTAGACATTTGAGTTCCATGTGCTGGCTCTGGCAGAAGGTTCTAGGTGGTCTTCACGTTGCTCGGCATCTCTAGTTACTAGTTCGCATTTAATTTGGTAAATCTCAAAGGAGACTGACCCCAGATACACCCTACAGTAATCCTGCCTCACTAGAATCATCAGACAGGATTGTAATCACAGCCACACAGATTAACATTTACACACGTTTTGGGAGGACACAATTCAATCCTTAAGAGGGGACATGGACTCAATCCATAGTAACCACCTTCTACATCATCTCCTTGGATCACTGGTGTTACTAAAATGATCTGGAAGTTGCATAACATAATTCACAGCATCTTCATACTCAACATATGCAGATAGACACAAGTGTGCCCTATACTCTGGACATGATGATGCTGTGCAGCCAAGCACTGGAGCATAGACCAGATGGACATAAGACATAAGACAGAACGAGCTCTGCGATGCGCACTGGGAAGGCAGGTAAAGCTGTAGCTTAAAGATGATGCTTGCAAAGCATTTTCAGAAACAGAAAACATTTAAACTGTGCTTGATGAAAACATAAAATCTTAAATAGAGTAAGTTAACAAAGTGCGCTTAGCTATGTGTTTAAAATTTTCACGGTTACAGGAGTATTATTATTTAGGAAATACCCTAGCAAAATTAGAAATGTATCCGTATTTTTGTTGATGCCTTAGGAATCAGCTTCCCCAATGACAAGCTGGCATGCGTGATAAGGACAATCAACAGTGGGTTCATGTCAGGGCTTTTGAGAATGTTAATGATCAAGGAAGACCTACTCTATGCCTGTTAGACCCACTGCCCTCTCGAAGGGCATCCCTGGGCTCTCTGTATGTGCTCAGGCATGGAGTTTAACACAAGGGCCTAAAGACAACTGTTAGTGCCAGTGGCATCTGAACTTCTATTTTCATGTGGCTTTTACCCTCAAATGAGAAAATAACTTTCTGAACAACTTTTTGAAATATTAGCCATTGCTTGCTATGGTCATGTACAGGGCCAAGTTCACTGGAGAAACTGTACATGAATTTATTAAAGCAGAAAACTCCATGTGGCAGAAACCTCCTCACCTGCTCCCCTCTCAAGATCCCAGAGTAACTTTCAAAGCATCTAATAAAACTCAGTTTTGAGTATTTACGATGATGTGAGAATTTCCTGACATCAGTTAGCTTTGGGAGGGGACCCTGCTTCCTGTTATATTAGGTGAGCCCCAGCTCCCATGGGCCTATCCAGACGCTCCAATCTTGCCTCATCTCTAGAAAATGAGGTGCCTGCCAGCGCCTGCTCTGCATCACTCAGTGCCTCCCGGTGTTCGTGGGTAACCTTGCTCCCTGTGGCCCAAGGAAATCTACAATGATCTCATTAGCATTCCTAAGGGACTCACTAATCACTTTTCCACTCTACTATCAAAAAACATGGAAATTAGTAAGTGCTCAGAGTAAGCAAATGCTTTTGCTATCTTATGCCTCAAATTTCCAAGGGGGTCTCCTTCTTCTGCCCAGCCTTTCTAAAAGGCAGCATTTAGAAGATACCTCAGTGGGGTTCTGAGTATAAGTTGAGGGAGAATCGTTGGGAAAGAGTATTTGTGAGCTGAGTTTCTTAACAGCAACTAGAACATGAAAACAAGCAACACCGGCCAGAGGAGTCAAGTACAGACTTGTTCCTGTATGCCACAGACTATTAAGCACAAGGTGGAAACGTACTAGGACTTTATTACATGTCTATTTTACTGGTTGCTCAGATTCACCAAGGCCTTAGTCATCCGTAACTATGGGTCCCTGACATCTGCTGCTAGAAATGATTAGGTGGCAGTACGACCATTGATGTCACAGCTGTGACCACTTAGTGCTTTTAGACGACTTCAATCGTAACATGTAACGACTTGGGTCTAACAGGAAGGTTTGCAGTTGCTGCTGTGCAAGGCAGTCTTCAGGAGGAGTCTGCCAGGCCAGCTCTAATGAACAGCAGAGGCCAGCGATGCCTTTGTGCAGGGAAGTCCAAACTCTGCCTGGCATTTAGAAAACCTATAAAAAATGACCTTCCCTCTTGGGACCCTATTGCTACATCTCAAACACTCTCTCCCGGCTCAATCTGTCCAGTCATCCACTCACCTACCATCCTGGTTACCAGCTCACACTCCACACTCGGGGTGGGCGTGGACAGGTGGGTAGATGAATGGACAAACGGGGGAAAGGCAACATTCCCAAATGTTCTTGAGTTGGATGTCCTTGATGACACCTCCTGGGATGAAAGCAGAGCTTGCAGTAAGGAAATTAATTCGGACAGAGCTCTTGTAGGACTGAGTAAGGATGATTTCTTGACCCTCTGAGATCATCCTAAAAATCTTTGACAACCCAAGAGGAAGCCTATTTGTCTCTTTCCAGATGGGGGTAATGTGATTGCTCCTGTCAACCTCCTGGGATGGGCAGTTACAGCTACACACTTGGGAAGCGGTCAAGGCTTGAGTCTGATGTCTGAGGAGTATGCCAGTCCATGTCCACTTCAGGGTCCGGGCCCCGGTCAGGAGCTACCCTTTGATAACAGCAATAGGCCTGAGTTTGATGGCCTTCTTGCTGATGCCCGCGTCGTGGCAGGTGTTCACCACATCCGTCACGTTCTTGTAGGATTCAGGAGCCTGCAGAGGCGGAGTCAATGAATGGCTATTTAAAATGGAGTCTTTACAAGCATTACTTTGCATATAGTTAAAGACACATATATTAAAAACACTGTGGTATTTTTATTGCCTATCAAATTAGCAAGATTAAAATGATAACTAAGCTTAATATTGGTAATAATCAGACACTTTGATTTTTATATTTTATATATATATATACACACACACACACACACGCATATACAAGGGCTTTCTGCTCCCACAAAGATGTACAGCCTTGGAAACCCAATACAGAGCTATGTGTTAAGTGCCATCTAATAGGTTTTGACTAACAGCTACATAGGGTTTCCAAGGAGTGGCTGGCTGAGTTCGAACCACTGACCATGCAGTCCAGTGCACTAGCCTGCACACACACATGTGTCTTCTCTGTACGTTCCAAATTGTGTTCCAACTACTATATGAGGGGGCTTCAAAAAGTCCATGGGAGAATCATTTTCTTTTCATTCCATTTTTCCACAAATTTTTTGAAGCCTCATCGATCAGGCCACACGACAGCTATGTGGCTTCAAATTTAAGTATCTAAATGTGCACATACACACAGATAATTTAAACACAATCTTTAATCCCCTGTTATTCAAACGAAACTACTGTCCCCCAATCCTTTCTGCCCCTTTTCAGAAGGTGGCTGTTTTCAGGTCTAAGCAGGAAATACACAGGTGTGCAAAAGCAAAGTTAAAACAAGCTTGCATACACTATGTTGAAAGTTTTATCTGTAGGCAGACTGTCTGTGAAAGGTATGAGCTATTTTTATGAACTTGGCTCATAATCATCTCCAAACAAAAGAGGAGACAATAATATACCCTAAATGAGGTCATTTGAAGATAAAAACATAATGTCTGCTACCAAAACCTAAAATCCTTGGTTCTGTATAATATTGGCATAAACCCAAAGTAATTTTTTGCTGAACGGTTGAAACACTCCACTGACCTCTTCCATAACCAGTTTGGGGGAGGCAACGCGGATTGCAATTCCCATATCTGCCAATTTGTCCAAGACATCCTGGAAGTCTAAGTTACGTCGAGATTTTGCTCGAGACAACGCCCGGCCCTGAAATAGAAAAGGACGAACTTTATAAATATAGAGAGCGAAATGTGATGTTCAATCCTCCTAGCAACTGTGGAATCTTCAGGATTCCTCTATCCGTTTCAATTAAAAAGTCAATAAAAAACAATTTTCTTCTACTTTATCAACCTCAGTATGTGTCTTTCATTATAAGTGACATCACTGTTGTTTAATGACTTCCAGTCAATTCCAATGCACAGCGATCCTGTGGTTTCTGAGGAGAGACTGCTGAGTCTCAACCTCAGACCTTGTGGTTCAAACTGACTTGTGGTCCATAATACCACACTAGTACTCCTCATGGAAAATAAATTTCTACCTATGCAAAAGCACTGTGTATTTAAAATGAAGCTCTGTGCATTTCTAATGACGTGAATGATTGAAACACGCAATAGAAACACCATGATTAATTATCCAGACCGTGTCTGCCATCACCCACTCTGCGCTCTCCGGGAGACTCAGACACCATTTCTCCATCACGGCACTACTGACACTTTGCACCAGACAAGTCTGTGTGGGGACTGACTGTTTCATACTTCCCTGACCTCAACCCCCTAGGTGTCACTCCTGTCCCTTGGTGGGGGTGTGGGTGCAAAATCAACTGACAAGTACTAGGAAAAAAGGGGTCCTGGAGTGCTGTTGTAGAATAAGTTCTGGACTCTAGATTGGCGGTTCAAAGCCTCCAGTCTCTCCTCAGAAACTACACAGAGAGGGTTGCTATGAGTTAGAAGTGACTCAGCGGCATCTAACAACCACCACCAACAGGGACAATGAGCAGTTGGGAAGCAGCTAGAAACGAAAGAGCAGAGAAGGAAAGCAGGGTTAAAATGCAATTTGGAGCGTCAGTCCGAAGAGACGGCTATTCTCGACAGTTGTAGTTCCCTCTCCAGGACTAGGAGGGGTTGGGAAGCTACTGGCTCCACGGCTAACTCTGGTCTGCAAACTGACTGCAGAAAACAATCTTCTTGGTGTAGAGCCATGTCCATTTGTGCTTTGTCTACAGCCTCTTCCTTACTCCAGCAGCAGAGCTGAGGAGCTGAAATAGACTGGATGATCCACAAAGCTTTACTACTTACTAGCCACTCCTTTACAGAAAGGGCCCATTTCTGGCTTAGAAGATTAGAGTCAACGTGCTGAAGCTGGTGTGGGACCATATACACTGGGCCCTGGTTTGCATCTCCCAGGTCTGGGCTGGACCCTCCCAATGGGAAGGAGCAAATGATGCCAATGTCCAGCTCAGATCTACCACAATGTTAGTTTGCATCCATTAAGAGTTGTCAGCTACTCCATCTGAATTTTCTGGCCTTGCCAAGGTGAAGCATAGACCTTACCTTTCCCAGCAGGTCAGGAGAGAACCCACACCTCCACTCTGTTCCTGTCAGTCAGGTCAATGAGCCTGTCTGTCCACAAGCACCCCATTCTCCTTACCGCTCCATGACAGGTGGTCCCAAAGGTTTCAGTCATGCCTTGTTCCGTGCCAGTGAGGACGTAACTACAGGTTCCCATGGTGCCCCCAATGAGCACTGGCTGTCCAGTGAGCTGAGGATGCACACAAAACACAAACATTGTAATGCCCACAATGTCCATTTCTGCTCTCACTGTAGGACTGGAGGAAAATTCTGAGACTCTTATAACTGTCCTCAGATGTTATCTTCACTCTTTAGTAGTCTGGAATGTGAGGACCAGTATGGGTGGATTGAGTGTATGCGTGTGGTGGAGGACCACCTGGTGGTAAGGCATCACCTGCCCTCACGGGGCCTCAGCTTTCTCATCTACGAGTGAGCACAGGCCTTTCTAGCTGCACTACAGCCAGACACCACAAGGGTGAGAGAACTCAGACAATTCAAGTTTAACCTTAAACCTCCCTTTCTAGCAGGCTAGAATGTTTTCCAGTACTTCAAATGATCACCTAATCCATTCTTAGCATCGTGAAATATATCTCAATAGTATGTTTTCAGTAGCCTATTGGAAGCCCAAATACTGTGGGGGAGGGGGCAGCCACAGCTCCAGAGAACGGGCACCCCAGTTCCCAGGGGAGGGGTTACTTGCTTGGTAATCCACGGCGATGAGGGGGTGGTGAGGCGGGAAAGCCCGGGTGGACCCTTTCCTGTGCACCAGCAGTGTGCGTTCCTTCCCGTCCACCACATGCTGCTCCACCTTGGCGATGTTGTGAGATACGTCATAGATTACGTGGAGGTCCAAGTCATCAGGGGTTGTGTTGAAGACCTTGGCAAAAGCCTGCGAGAAAAAGCTTTGGTGAGAAGCGGCCAGAACAAGCTCTTCTGACTTTCTCCACTGAACCCAGTTAGTCTCTTCCTGAAGGCAGTGAGGGATTAAAGAATTCCAAAATGTAGTTACCATTAATCCCAAAGGACAGAAACTGCCTTTTACACCTGTAGCCCATCCTTGGCCCATAAATTCAGGTTAAAAAGCTGCCAGGCCCAATCCCAGTGCCTCCTGGATCTCAGTGGATGGTACCGCCATCTCCTTCGAGATTCAAGGCCAATGCTAGAAGGAAGCCTTAATTTCTCTTCTTCACCTCATTCTCCACACTGGGTAACCTGCTGGATTGAATTTATATAAAACACCAGCTCAGCCACTCCCCCAGTAGGCTATAAATATTTTATTACGTGAATTCCCAGAGCAAAAGCTCTGGTGTAGCACCATAGGTATGATAAGCACTCGATCTCAAGGTCAATTTGAACTGCAAGGTCAGCAGTTCAAACTCACCAGTCGCTCAGCGGAAACCCTATACAGGGTCGCTAAGAGTTGGAACTGACTTGAAGGCCCTTTACAACAACTATGTTTTAAAGCACTTAAACACCATCACAACTAAGAACGGAAGAGCAACTTCAAAGGCACCTGGCGGGTTAAGAAGGTCATGGAGGAGCGGTTGACCCAGGCATAGTTTCCAGCTGCGGCCATTCCCTTCAGGTAGTCCTGACCTTCTGTGGACGCAATGCGAGCACAAGCCAACTGACGGTCGTTGACTATAATCTTGTCTCTCTTCATGGCCTTTTCCATAGCTACCAGTGCATCTGTAGCAAGAGAGGAACAGCCCCACATCAGACAGGTGCCCTGTGGAACTCAGACGTACCGCAGAAAAGCAAGCGACAGTTAAACTTGCTGTACAACAAAACTAAAGAAAAGACAACATTGCCTTTAGTCTTTCTGACCACATCTCTTGGTTAGTCCCGATTTTGTTATTACTGATGTTTTCAGTCAGTCCTATGACATAAGCCAGGTGAGGTACAGAGATGATATCTGCCATGCACACCCCTCCCTGGCCTTGAGATGTGCACAGACATAACAACAATCTGGTCTCAGTCACTACAAATTCACCACGTGAAGGAAGGAGAATACAGGCAGAAAACACAGTTCATTCTCACCATGGTTTTAGCAGTTGTTTCAGGGCTAGAGACAAGTTGCTAGATCTCAGATGTTCTGTAGGAAAATCCCAGCCATTGTTAAGGGGGGGAGGAAACTGGAAGAATGTGGAAAACGCTAGCCAAGGCATCCTGTATTTGCTAGGTGAGATATTTTACGGGGGCAGGTTGGCACAAATGATTACATTCTCATAGGACAAAACGCTCATGCAAGATTACATGACAGATTTATTACTGAAGTTTATAGATCTATCTCTGAATAATTTCTCATGTGTTGCTAAATCCTGCCACAGACTCTGAGCCATCCACTATTTTCCTGTCTCCTGGTCACAAATAGCCTTTGTAAAGACTGTACAAATGGTAAGACCCAGCTCAAATGCATGCCAAGGAAACCAGCTCCAAAGTCCTTTTCTGAATAGGTTTGATTTCTTTGTCCTGCAGTACTAATTGCGACCTTTAATGTTTCCTTAAATGATTAACACTTCCTTTACATAAATATGAGTGAGGGCAGAGTGCTGCCTGAATCGCCATATCCTCCAGAACACAAAGTTCCCGACGTGTGTTTGCTGAAGGCATGTCTGCTCCACAGGTTCCACAATGTAAGTATTTTCTTACGCTTTTAGTAACCAGTGCTGATGCAGCTCACAACAACGAGAGCCGACGTCCACTGAGTGTTTACTAAGTGCGGAGTCCTGGTGTGGCACAGAAGGATAAACACTCAACCTCGGTTGGTTTGAACCACAAGGTCAGCAGTTTAAACTCACCAGCTGCTCCTTGAAACCCTAAACAGGGTCACTATGAGTCGGAATCGACTCCATAGCATTTAACAACAACAGAGCACTGATTTCAGTGTTCTATCTAAATCACTTCATTTAACCTGTTGGGATGAATTCACCTATAACATACCTGTGGCTACTTGGTGGCCCAAGCCTCTGCTTCCGCTGTGGATCATCACACACACCTGTCCCTTATGGTCGATGCCCATTTTCTTAGCAGCATACTCGTTGAAAATCTCATCCACAACCTGGATTTCTGCATAATGGTTGCCTGCTCCCAGGGTTCCCAACTGCAAAAGTAAGAATGTCTCATAAAAATAACCTCCAGTGAAGACTGTCTTTCTTTAAAAGAACATTTTAAAAGCAGAGAGTTGTAAAAGCAAGCTAACAACAACAAAATCGGCTCGTACTGGGACCATCTAATTTTAAACATCCCAATTTTAGATGAGAAAACCAGATCAGAGAAGTACCAAGCCTGCCAACAAGTAGTGGCAGCACAGCCATCCATTTGGTCACGTGTGGATTTCACACATCTGCTGTCTTCTCATCTCAGTGACACCCACGGGCACGGGGTCTCTGTTCACTTCACCTGCAATGGCAGGAAGCTCTGGGCCAACCTACAAACTGTCCAAGTCTGTAAAGACGTCACTTGGGAGTGAGTCACAAACCTCCTGTCGTATCCTATCCACCGCCATCCACTTCTAGTTCATGACATTTTTATTTTAGAACATTTCTAAGACCCCGATGTCATATTTAGAATACGAATGAAGCATAAACAACAAAAAATAAGTTTGTTCCTCCCACCTAGAAACGTTCACCTGTTTATTTATTGTGGTTAAAACACATACAACAAAAAACCCTGTATATATGTGTGTGTGAATATATATATATAATATATAGATAGCTAGATAAAGAGAGAGTGTCCTGGTGTGGTGCTGTGGGTTACTGCACAGGAAAGCAAGGCTGCGTTGAACTGTACGGTCAGTGGTTCAAGCTCACCAGCCACTCCTTGGAAAGCTTATACAGTTTTGCTACGGGTCAAAATCAACTCAACGGCACTTCACAACAACAGTGAAACATATATATTTATCATGACATTTACCAAGGAAACACTTTTTACACTGAGTTTAGTGACTTTATGTTCATCATGCTGGACAACCATTACTACTATCCTTTCCCAAATGATTCTATCAATTTGGGATTTTTTTGATATATTGTGGGAAAAACAACAACTGGGGATATATATATATATATATACATATATATACTTATTATACGGGAAATAGAATTTTTTCCCCAACAAAAGTGACGTATGAAAAACTATGTTGCCCCTTGGGGTGCAGTGGATGACTTGACATGGCTTCTTCAGCTATAGTCTGTGAGTGGGTGAGGCCATGCAAATCGGGTGTATGCAATTGTAAGCGGGGGCTGGTCACTTTTGCCATCCTGATGGGTTTAAAATGAGACATCTCAGAAGTAGGAATGTCAGGAGTGGAGCCCATCCTTTGGGCCCCGTGACTCTTGTATGCTACCTTCCTCAGTCTAGGAGACAGTTGTGACCCCCAGAGGAGTGGCAACAGAGCCAACAGCACGGGAAGAGTGGTGGGTTTCCTGACTCACAGAGCAAACAAAGCTGAGAGCCCTGGGTAGGAGGCTGGCTTGTGGAGGGGAATGCCTCCTGCTACTTAATCAGGGGAAGCAGGTTTGCCAACCCAAGGAGCTAGGGCTGAGTGCCCTTGGGCTGAAGCTTACCTAAGTGCGGTGGAGTGCCTTTTGGGCATTTGTCAGTGGCACTAAAAGAAACTTTTTGAGGTGTTGAGCGGCAGAAGGAACAAGGACCAGAAAGAAGACATGCCTATAGGCAAGTTCTGACATTAGAACTGGATCCTAAGCATTTCTGATCTGAAATTGTAACTGAACTGTAAGTGACTTCCGAGCGGCCACTGCAGTGGATTAGGGAAGCCAGCCGAGAAGGGATGGTATGAGGACAAACAGGGTGAAAGCACTTCTGACATCCCTGTCTAAGGAATCCACCTGTGACGTCAGAGCAGGTAGGAGGCCACCCTGCCATCGTCATACCCCTCTGCAGTTACCTGAGGAAGGCCTCTCTTCTTGGCCCTGGCAGAGACCTTGTTGGGGTCAGCCTGCAGCATCCTCCCATACTCCTCGCAGTGCTCCTTGTCTTCAGCCCAGGCATAACCTTCTCGTAAGGACCAGTCCACACCCATCTCCAGGGCCTCCTCCAAGTCTCTGAAGTAGAGAACACGGTACTAGTAGGTCCACAGCAAAGGAAGACCAAACTCCAAGGAGCACAGTTCTACTCTGACACATACTGGGTCATAATGAATAGGGGTGGATACAATGACAGTTGGTGGTGATAGTGGAAAACACTTTTATATTAACATTAAACGCTGAACTATGAACCACAAACTTGGTGGTTTAAACCCATCAGCTGCTCCAAGGGATTAAGATGAGGCTTTCCGTCTCTGCAAAGATTTTAAAAAAGCCTCAGAAACCCTGTCCAGGTTCGCTAGGAGTCGGAACCACATACACATGAATCTGAAAAGAGAAGACATCAAAGGAACTTACTTGTCGGGCATATAGTTGTGCTACTGAAGTAGCAACTTTCAGGTGCTCTGCTTCAAGTGACAGTCTGACTATCAATTCCACCTGGAAAGTGCTCACACTGCAGTCTCAATTTAGGTCTTACTTCAGAAATACAAACCCCCCTAGGCGAACAAGGAATCCTGATGGTACAATGGCTAAGCACTCAGCTGGTAAACAAACGGCTAGTGGTTCGAACCTACCCAGTGGTTCTGTGGAAGACAAGACCTGGTATCTGCTCCCATAATGCTTTCAGCCTAGGAACGCTATGGGACAATTGTACTCTGTCACGCAGAGTGACTACGAGTTGGGACGGACTTGATGGCACACAATAAGGTAAAGAACATGCTGCAGCATCAAAAAAAGGAAGGTTCTGGATAAATACCAGGCTGACTGGTAAAAGGCAATGCGGTTCAGAACACAGTGCCTGAAGTCTAAGGATTTCTGCTTTGAACGACGATCCCCCTAACCTCTAGTTTCCTTTCTTGTCAATGAGGTGTGTGAATGTTGTAGGGGACAGGAAACGGGAGGCACTGTAGCAGGGTTTGCTGGACTCCGCTTCCCAGATCCCGCGTTTCCTCTCAAATGAGGCTCTGTGGTAACCGTGTGTGGAGTGGGCACAACAGCATGTATTCCTCTGTGTCTCTGTGTCACATTTTGGTAAATCTCACGATATTTCAGACTATCTCAGATTTACTATTGCAGTTAATGTTACTGTTGTTGTTAAGTGCCATCTGGTTGATTCGGCTCATAGGACCCTGTATAGGATTTCCTGATACAACAGTGACACACCAGGAGGCCAGTGCACACTTAATAAACCAAATTAAAAAAACCCAAACCCACTCCCATCAAGCTGATTCTGAGACTGCAATTCTTTACAGGAGCAGATGGCTTCATTTCCCCCCTCAGAAGCAGCTGGTGGTTTTCAAATGATGAACTTGTGATTCTCAGCCTAACACTTACCTTCACAGCACCACTGAGCCTCCTTACTAAATGCAGTATAGTGCAAACATGAGTTTTATATGTACTAGGAAACCAAAGAAATGCATGATTTTGCTTTCTTGCAGAAGTCTGGCAACAGACCTGCAACATCTCTGAGGTACAACAACATACACACAATGGAATACTCTGCAACAGTGAAGAAAAATGAATCTGCGAAACACTTCATCATCATATGGATGAAGCTGGAGGCCAACATGCTGAGTAGAATGAGACGACTACTGTAATAACCCGAGGGACGTTTGTTTTCATGCTCAAAGAACATTGTCTGATGGCTACCAGCGGTGGGAGGGAGAGGAATTCACTGGCTACAGGGTAGACACATTAACTCGGGGGATGCGCAGGGCAATATACAAGAAGGAGGAGGTTGGCAGCAGAATGATGAAGACAGGTGAAGACACAGGAAGGTATGCAAGGGCTAAAGGGAAAAGAAGTGTTCTGCGGGTAGTTACATGGGCAGAGACACAGTCTCAACAGGTGTGGGAGGGAGACTGGGAGCATACTCACAAATATGTAAGAGTTTGACAGAGGATATTTGTACATGGGGATTTACCTTTCCTGCAAACACACCTATGAATGTAGTGGTGCACACAGCAGGCAAAATGATGGAAACGTCTTAGATATTATCAAACATCTTAAGGCAATGAATTCTGAGCCTGGGGACACCAAGGTCAACTGGCATAACATAGTCCACAAAGACAATGCTCTACATCCTACGTTGGTGAGTAGCTTCTGGGATCTTAAAAGCTTATGAGCAGCTGTCTAAGGTGCTACTACTGTTCTCTCCATGTGCAGAAGAGTGATGAGAATCGATGATGTTTAGAACCAGTCCAGCAGACTAATAGAACTTGTGAACATCAGTCTCCATGACTCTAAGACCAGAAGAACTAGATGGTGCCCAGCAACCACTACCAATTGATTTGAATGGAATCACAGTACTAGGTGGAGTGGGAGAAAATGAGGAACAAACTCCAAATTATATACACTGACTGGGCTTACAGGTCAGAGAGACTGGAGGAACCAGACTATGGCCCTCAGCCACCCTTCAGGTCTGGAAAGGAACTCACTCTCAGGGACCAATTTTCTGTCAGGCAGTACACAGAAATACAGGGCTGACAACACTAGTAAGGTCTGCTCACCATGGAATGGCCAAGCATTCACAATCAGAAGGGCAACATTTTCCTAAGGACAAAGACGAGAAGGGAAGAGCAGACGGGTGAACGGAAACACGAATCCCAGGGAGGAAGCGGGATAACTGGTGTTGCAGGGAGGGGATTGCAGTCATGGAGATGAAACGAAGTGTAGGATTTCCTGAATGGAAAACTGATGATCTTGTCAATAAACCTTCACTCAATGCACAATAAAAAGTTAAACAAACACAATTTTTGCTTCCATTTCCTGAAAAGTAGAACATTTCATCTCCCAAGTGTCCAACATTTGATATGACAGTGAGGGACATTCAGTAAAACCTTTCTCGTTCCATGCCCTAGAAATCTGTGCTCTTACTTGGCGTTCATTGGGATGACACCTTTTGATCCCACTCCAACAGGAATGTGGTCAAACATCGCTTGGGCAAGTTGTTCTTTCACCGGCTGAACGTCACCCTCATCTAAATTGGTTCTTAGCAAGCGGACACCACAGTTGATATCAAATCCGACACCCCCTACAGAACACAGAAAAGGTGGCCACGTATTAACAAGAGCAGGAGGCTGAGTGTCAGTACCTGTGGTTTCTATTAATGCAAGTTACAAAAGGCAACCCTGCTCTTAAACTGCCCATGAAAACGGTTCTGTTTTGATGACACCAAAACAATCAAACGTAACAGACTGAAGAGACATCAGGGCCAGGGAGGCAGTAAGTGGCATCTAGGGGAGGAGATCAAAATGTTCCTTAGGCACCTCTCTCTTTTCCTCACCACTCCCGACAGGATAATAAATTCTATTAGTCTTTTCAAGTCACCAACTTTTCAGCTTTGTTGATTCTTTCTATTGTCTATCTTTTCATTTAATAGCGCTTGCTTTTAAATTTCCATCATTTAACTTTGTGACTAACCTTTTAAGATAAACCTTGGGCCGTTGATAGTTCAGCTTTTCTTTCCAATTTTTTTGTGTTAGGGTTAATAATTGCCACCTAAGGAGCTCTGGTAGTGTAGTGGTTACGAATCGGGCTGCGAACCGCAAGGTCAACAGTTCGAAACTACAGCTGTTCCACGGGAGAAAGATGAGGCTTTCTGCTCCCGTAAAGATTTACAGCCTCGGAAACTCTGTACAGGGTCGCTATGAGTCGGGACCGACTCCACGGCACATGACAACAACAACAAGGAACTCTGGTAGCGTAGTGGTTATGAATTGGGCTGCGAACCTTAAGGTCAGTGGTTCGAAACTATCAGCGGCTCCGCGGGAGAAAGATGAGGCTTTCTACTCCCATAAAGATTTACACCCTCGGAAACCCAATACAGGGTCGCTATGGGTCGGAACCGACTCGACGGCACTTAACAACAAGAAGCATAGTGTCAGTGTTGCTGCTAAGTGCCGTGGAGTTGGTTCTGATTCACAGCATCCCTGTGTAAGGGTTCCAAGGAGAGGTTGGTAGGTTGAAGCACTGACCTTGTGGTTAGCAGTGCAGCACTTAACCCTATGGTGTCCTATCAGGACTCCACATAAGTGCCTAGGGGATTCCTGATACAGAATGTTCGACAAACTACTGCTCTATATGATCTCAATGCTTTGAAATCCGAGAACTGCAATGGCCGAACATGTGGTCAGTGGCAGACGTTCTGGATTGAAAAGAACACACAGTAATGTGCACACACATGTGACCTCACATATACTGGGGCCAAGGTGTCCTGCAAATCTCTGTCCTTACTGAGAGAAATCTGCCATTACACCTCAAGAAAACCTGCTGGGTTAAATGCTGATCAAGGGACCCTGGAGCACCAGTGGGTAACACTGGGCTGCTAACCACCAGGTTTGTGGTTCAAGCCCAGCAGTCACTCCCAGGGATGTGAGGTGGCTTTCTGCTCCTGTGAAGAGTGATTCTCAGGAGCAGTAAGAGGCAGATCTACTTTGTCCTGTAAGGTCACTGTGAGTTGGAATCCACCCCACGGCACATTCTGGGTTTAGGCCTTTGGGCTTCCCTGGTCCTTGTGAGCCTGGCCTGACACGTTCTCACTGACTTGGTAGCTCTGAGACCTTCCAACAGACCAGCCTTTCTAGTTATCCTCAACGGTGCACCCTTCAAGATGTCGTTTACCCTTCCGACTTCTAGGCAGACTTTTGGAAAGCACAGGTCTCAGGTCTGATGTATAAAGTTTTCAGTGAGAAAACACTACAGCAGCCAAGGTGGACACAACCCGAGGTGACCAATGACAGTTAGAACAAGCACTGAGCACTTCCCATGGGCCCAGCCCTGTGCTAAGTATTTCACAGGTCTGAGCTCATTTAATCCTCACACCACCACCGTGTGGTCATATGATCAATCCCAATTTCACAGGACGTAACAGAGACACAAAGTCAATAATCTGACAGAGAAGTGCTTCAGTCTGTTTGTAGCCTATGTCTGAAGAGTGCCTGGCAGCTAACAGAAGCCCAATAAACTTTCAATAACTATCGGCTCTGTTTGATATCTGATGACGTCTGAGTGGTCATAACCAATTCTTCCAGTAAATGAAAAGAGCTGACAGACCCTGAGGAGACAGCAGACATGACTCACAGAGGGCAGCTGCAGACCCGACAGCAGACGTATCCAGTGAACTTACCTGGTGAAACCACTGCCTCAGGGTCACTCATATCAAAGGCTGCCATATTCCCAATAGCAAACCCATAGCCCGAGTGGACATCAGGAAGACCAACAGAACGCTGAAAGAGAAGTGAATTGGAAGGTGAACTAGGGGCCGATACAGACTCCCAAAATGACTATGGGTTGGAGCCTTCGCAAAAACCACATCCCATTTTCACGGAATCTCTACTGGTAGAAGTTGGGAGTGAAAATTCCTAGCCAACAAGCAAAATATGCAAGGATATTTTTTCTATAGTCTAACCATTAACTAAGGAACTTTAAAACAGAAAAGCTTCCAAATAACATGATATAGGAAGACCACATAGTAACTTTAATGTAGTCACATTTTACCAGTAATCCTAAAACACTGATAAATAAATCACACTCGTGTTGGATTAACAAGGGGGAAATAGGCACTTTATACAGGTTCCAAGTGTTTATGCAGTTACAGACCCACTTAAGAAACTTGACCTTATGAATACTGTACACTTTCTCCATCTGGAACCTGAAGGAATGCAGGGCAAATACTGAAAGATATGCAGACATCCAGAATTCCTTCTGGTCTTTTTATTTCCCCCACAAATGGCCAGCAATGGAACTCAGAATCTAAGCCAACCCACTCCCATCGAGTCCGATCTTCCAACTCATAGTGACCCAAGAAAACAGAGTTCCTCAGGGTTTCTGAGACTGTAACCCTTTATAGGAACAGACAGTCTCATCTTTCTCCTACAGAGCAGCAGGTCCAGTGGGTTTGGACCTCTAGCTGTGGTAAGCACCTCAATGTTTAATTCATCATACCACCAAAGCTCCAACTGCTCTAAAGCCCTCAGAAACCTAAGCTCTAGTGGAAGAAGGTAAATGCTGGATTGTTCCGTCCAGTTCTCTCCCTGATCTTGCCACCGCCCTCACTGTCCAACCAGGCCCACTCTCTCCCTCCACTCAGACTTTACCCGAAAACTAGCTTCTGTTCCTTCTCCAACTCTCCTTTTGAAGAGAGTATAAAAAACCTACAATGACGATGCACTGATTCAAGAATAATGATGTATTACATAAAAACCACTTCACCACAGAAAACCAGAAACTGCACATCTAGCTAGACTCAGTGATTCCTGAAGTCCAAAGCTATTTCACAATGTCTGCCGATCACTGTCTAAATGACACCACTCTCATTTCTGCAAGGACACTCACCAAGTCAACAAGCTCTTAGGGTTACAAGGAAACACAAATGATTAAAGCACTGAACTCTACTCACGTGAACAATCCCAGGCAGGGCTGCCACGTTGCCGATCTGTTTCATGGCCGGCAGGAAGCCACCAACACCTGGAGACAAGAATTCAATATTAGAAAGAAGACATGGTAAGCACATTTACACATTCCTAGAGTGCATGAAATGAAAGGAAGAAGTGTAGGCTATTAACCAACAAATCCGAGATGGAGGTTTGATAGATGTATGAAGGGAGGTTCTTGAAGGAGGAATCAAGAGGACAGGAAAGGTCTGAGGGCAACCAGACTAATGGCATATATGGTGCCAGGGCTCTGTGTAAACCACGAAGAAGGTAGCAAACGTACTAGGAGATATGAAACCTAACTATTAATTATACTTCATTTTGTCAATCAATATAAAAGTACCAGGATAAGCACTGGGCTGCAAACCATCAGGGTGGTGGTTCAAGGAAGAAAAGTTGAGGCTTTCTGCTCCTGCAAAGATTAACAATCTCAGAAATCCTGTACAGGGTCACTATGAGAACAAACTCAATGGCACTTAACAACAACAACATCCAATAGTGAAAATTATTTTTTTTAAAAATTAATCGAAAAATGAAGCAATAAAGATGCGGGCTGAGTTTGGCCAAATTCCATTGACAACTGTTGAGCTTGAGAGAGAAGAAGGGCTGGCTGGTTTGCAGTTTAGGCAAAGAGTGAGCTCCAAAGCTCACGGGCACTGACCTAGTCACTGGGGGCTAGAGCAGAGAGTGAATCAGCCTGCTTGTCTGAAGCACAGGGAGGCGTGTGTCAACTCTGAAACTTGCAGCAAGTACCCATCTGACCTACCTTGGATGGTTAGCTGACCAGATGAAGATAAAGATCCTCTATACTGTGAGCAAGTAAAAATTGCTACAATCTGATGGACCTTTGCTTATGGATGCAGTTGCTCAACATTCCAATTGGAATAGAAGGAATTCCAACAGGAATATCAAGGAACAAGCTGGATCCCTCAGTGTACTGGGTTGATTGTTGTTAAGTGCCATTGAATCTGTTCTGACCCATAGCGACCCTATACAGGGTTCTGAGGAGCAGCAGCTCATGAGCTTGAACTGCCAACATTGCAGTTCAAACAACTCTGCAGTCTGACACATTAACCCACAACGCCACTGGGTTGATAGGGTCAGGCAATCTAGACAATGGCTACAAAGGCACAAAGTGGCTGGTGTGTAAGCCAGCTGAGGGTGCTTAGTTTCAGAATGTGGGCAGTAAGGTAGAATTCCCACTGGAAAGTTTTCCTCTTCTCTAGTTGGATCTGGTGACAGTGGATGAGAGAGGATGCCGATAGGGTTTATGATTCAATTATGAGTAACTGTTAGCAAGATTAATGATCACAACTGTTAACTATAGAAGATGTATAACTAAAAGGGGGGAGTAGTTAATCTTTCATTTCAGAAACAAGACGATCCCAGGACCATCAAGAAGGAGGCGCATGAGTGAACTGTGAGATCCTACCCTGAAAACCCGTGACAGCAGAGACAGTGGCAGGACAGACAGAGCAGCTGTAGGCTCTAGGCCCATGGGCTGAGTCAGGCTATGAGCCTGTGGGCAGGAGGCTGGCTTGCAGAATATGCCTTAGGACATTTAAATGAACTAAATTTTTTGTTTCATATATATATATATATATATATATATAAAAAACCTTATGGATCATAGCAGAATATTCTCTAATGAGTCCCCTAGATTGGAAGGTACACAAGAAGATAGTGGCCACAGCAATGGACCCAAAGCTACCACAGATGGTCAAGATGGCCATGAATAGGAGCCAATTTGATGGCAGCTAACAAGAAATCAGTACCTCACAGAGGAAGGGACTTTGTGAGGGAAGTGGTAGAGCCAGGAGCGTGCTGGATCCAGTAAGCAGTGAACTGAGTGGTGAGGCTAGCTCAGCCATCTCATTCCCAACTTCACCTCATTCCCTGAAGTTCCCATCAAAAATCAAGTAAAGAATGATGGGTCCTGGTCTTACAAAAAGATCTGGGTCCCAGTTTCTGCTCTGTCACATGGGAGCTGTGTCATTCTACACCTGGGAAGAGGGGTGCTTACCCAGCATTAGTGTGCTGACTGAAAACCACTCAGCTCCAGATCCTTCCCAGAAGCTTAAGTGGTTAACCGAATGTGGTCATAAATAACAGGGCTTATTTTTTTTGGGTCTCATTTCAAGTCTTAGCCCTTGCCAATACTTTTCTTTTCATTTCTAAAAAACTTTAATTAATAGTGTTGTATCAAGGTTAATTTAGTAATTTTGATGGTTCTATGGTTTTGTAAGATGTTAACATAAGGGGAATTTGGGTGAAGAATATACAGGACTTCTGTACCATTTTTACAACTTTTCTGTAAATGTAAAATTATACCAAAAATTTTAAATTAACTGTTAAAAAACACAGAAATACATATATAAATAAATTTGCATTTTGTGTGTGTACGTAAACACACACACACGCACACACATATAAATTAAGACTTCATGGAAAATGGCAATTTGGGCACTTGGAAACGTTGAGTGTTCTCTCCCGAATTAGTCATTATCTCATTGGTTTGTGGTAACTTAGTTTTCAGGTACTATCTTTAAGGCTTTAGTTATAACTCTGATTTTTACAGAAAAAGAAAAGCCTTTCTTCAACATTCTTATGTTAGGCCAAAAATAGAAATAAGATTATCACCATGTAACATTCTAAAGTCAATCATCCCAACTATAAGACTTAGCCATTATATAAGTTTACTAAATTTCTTCTCATCACATAGTGTGCTCATATTGGTATACTGGTTTGGTTTAGTTTACAAAGGGAGGAAATGGCTGATAGATTTATTATACTTATATCTATACAGACAGATAAGGAGCTCTGGTAGCATAGTGGTTGTGAATCAGGCTGCTAATCTCAAGGTTAACAGTTCAAAACTACCAGCTGTTCCATGAGAGAAAGATGAGGCTTTCTGCTCCTGTAAAGATTTACAGCCTGGGAAACTCTGTACAGGGTTGCTATGAGTTGGAACCGACTCCACGGCACATAACAACAACATATAGATAAGACAGACAGATAGGCTTGGCAGTGTAGAAAAAAAAATTATCATTTAAAAATCTTATTAAGAAACAGCTATTTTTCTGGTAACAGATACTGTATATATACCTCAGATGTAAAAAGTAAGTTATTTACCTAAGTCCTTTCTATAAACAGCATTAGAGCTATTTCGACAAAGCCCAACTAAGATTCTTAATATTCCTTCCATAAATTTGGCTTTTAAAGGACTGTTCTTAATGGAAATAAACATCTTTTTATAAAACTGGCAATTATCTTCTAATGCAATTACAACAGGGAAATAGAGATAATCTTCAAATATACCCATAAAAAAAGAAAGTAATTTCCCACTCTAGGTATGCTGATTCAGTTCCTGACCACGAATCTCCCTTTATCCTCCATGTTCTCTACTATAAACTGTTGGAATCTGTTCATAGGGATCTTGAAAGTGAAACTAACTTTTTAGATGGAGAATATTACAACATAATCATGTTTCTTTTTGTTATTATTTCTAATCATTGTGGCATTAGTTTTTCATCTATCATAGTGCTTTCTCTACAAAGAAAATTACTAGTTAACAACCACCACCAAAGGTAATTAAAAAGTGTCTTTATCCAAAACATGATAAAAAGCAAGATATTCTTGCTCAAACATTCTTATTTCTACATCAATGCTATTTCTAAGTTTCTCTTCCAATACTACCATGAAAACAGAAGTGTATAGTGATCTATACAAAAAGGCAGAGTTTACCTCAGAACTCATTACATTGCAATTTACGCAAGTAGCAAAAAGATATTAATATTAAATTCATTCAAAATTGCCATACTGTCTGTTGTCAATATGGTCTCCTGAAATTATTAAACAGATTACTACAAAATATGCCAAGAAGTAGGGAGCAATAACTTCAAATAACACTCAAAACAGACCCAAGAAGGCTAAAGTCCAAACTTAATTTACTTTGTAAGCAGTCACAATGCACAAAAATTTGACAAGTAATTCAGCTGTTTTAAAAAAAAACAGAGACTGTCTGAGATTATATGAGTCTCATCTGGTAGGCTTCTGATAAGTTTGTTATATAAAGTGTATTTCTCTCCTGCTGGTAAAAGTAGCTTGCAAATATCCATACAGTTCTTAGGAAAGGCGTGAATCTATGTGACAATATTGCTAACTCCAGTTTCCTATTACTTTCATTGCTCTGAAAACATTCCTTTCTATCAGATTCTTCCAAGTCCTTTGCCAGATTATATGAAGTTTGAAATCAGAGGAAAGTTGGAATGTATTGCTTGTCATCAACAACCATCTCAAAAAGATAGTAATTAACCAAAATTCAGAGTTCTTTGATCAAGTTAGTAATAGGCTTCTGCTTTGTTCTAAACCCTTTCATAATCTTTTCCCCCCAAAATTTCCAGTAGGTCTGGATTTTATAAACAGCCTCTTTCCTGGTCCGCTGGACAGTCTTGGCCTCCAGTTTCAACTGAATCCAGTTCCAAAAGTTCCTCGGTTAGTATTTCTTCCAGAAGCCAGTAAGCTTTGCCTGTCTTTTCCCCTACAAACTCTTCTACTTCTTGTTCAAACTACTGGACCTTCTTCAACACATTTATGTTTTTATTTAATACTTGGAGGAGTGCCTTCATCTGAAGATAAACTCTTTAGGGTGAATGGTACTTCGATCTTGACTTTGAGGATTTTTACTGGTGGCATTATCATACAGCTGACTTTTACCACTACATTGGACTTGGGAATCCAAAAGATCAGTATTATCATTGTTCATGGTCCCCAAAGACTCATACTGATGGACAATGCAAAGAAAGGTGTGCAGATTCATGTCTGATCTGATTGGCTATAGGGGTATGAAGACTCCTTGGACTGCTGGGATGGTGACAGTGGTTGAGGACAGCCACTGTGAGGCCATGATGAAATATTTTCAGTCATAGAGATTCTTGGTGGTGCTGAGGGTGTAGCTGAAGGCCAGGGTTAGTGGGTTCCCATTCCATAGGCACCAGGGAAAGCCCCGGTATCCTCTGTGGTTGTACACTACGTCCTGACTGTGGAATGCTACGATTACCATCCCCACAAGAATAATGGGGCAGGGTCATTCCAGGGTTCTGTGAAGCAGAATATCCTGGAACCCGCCTCCTAAGAGTGGGCACTTCAGTCTGACAGTCTTGCTGGGGAAACAGCCAACAAGAGACTGGGACTGGGCCATTGCCAGGTGAACAGTAAGTGTTGGAAACTTCTGTGGAGTAACTGGTCTGAGTCTATCCAGGCGCATATTAAATCCCAGAGTAAGAGGCAGTATTTGCCCTAGGACCAAGGGGGTACCGTGGACCATATGCTCCATTTGTATAAGAATTTAAACTCTGGCCTTGTAATTCCAGTCTTCTAGGATACGCACTTGGGTAAGGAGTTCTAGTCTGCACAGAACAATTCCAACAGTTAGAACTGTAGTTAGGATAAGGGGCTGCTCCTGGTGGCTTCTAGCAGTCCTACCCAGCTCCAGCCAGGTGCCCCCAGAGGCATAGTAGCTATTGCTTCCTCTGACTTCTACCTGCCAGGCGGGCTCAGCCGAGTTGTTCCTGTCACCAGCAAACACCCATAAGCTTTTCCTGTACCCACCAGGGAACAGGAGGCTGGGAAGTTCAGAGCATGGAGGATATAAGGGTGGAGGTGGGTGCATGGGCACATGTCCATCCCCAGGCCCACAGTAGTGGCCACAAGGGGCCTCTGGGCTGCCACCAGCTCCACTGTCCCAAGTACTTCCTCAACAATACTTTACAAGTTAAAATTATATTGAACTACTATTTTCTCAGGTCACAGGAAATCCATCACTTGTACCATCACATGCGGAAAGGCAACATACTTACCCCCACCACGACAGGCGTTACGCAACTCCTCAAACATTAATTTCTCCAAGGAGTCATTCACGTAGAAAACACCTTCCACCTGGTACCAAACAAAGGAAAGCAAATGTACAAAATGTATATACGTATATATATATATATATATAAGGACTGGGCAGAATACAAACATGGCAGGCAGTACTGATTTGTATTTTACTTTACTCTTTATAAGACACTTCTACATTGCTGCAAGTAAGCAGAAAACTTCCTATCAAAATCTACAGTATACATCCATCATTAGTCTTTTAAAATGAATTTTGCAGTTTTCACAATTCAATCTGCATACAGATAAAATTTTTTCTTCTATATGATAAAGAAGTCTTCCAACAATGCTATGGCAAAAGATCTCAGCGCTCTTGTGCTTCTAAATTACCAATGGGTTTTGAAAACACCGAAGAATCATACAACTCAAATTGCAACACAAAAATGAAGTTATCGGACCTTTGCGTATTTCTTCAATGTTTAAAGCAACAGCAAATCACCTTTTACCATGTCTTCAGGCAATTACAAACATATTTCCAGACCCACTACCATCAAGTTGGTTCTGACTCACAAAACCACACCTGACACATAGCAGCCCTGTAGAAGGGTTCTAAGACTGTAAATCTTTACTTACACAAATAATGAGTAAAATTTTTAGTATGTAACTTGAGTGCTCAGTTCAACAACCTACCTCAGTTAAGAGGCTGGACAATGAACACACACACACTAAGAACCAGGAAACGGAGTCCTGCTGTGGCACTGTACAATAAGCACTGAATTGCTAACTGCAAAGTCGGCAGTTCAAACCCACCAGCTACTCCCCAGAAACCTATATGGTCGCTATGAGTTGCAACTGACTCAATGGCACTTACCAACAGCAAAGACCCAGATATTTTAATCAGAGAACACATAAAATAATGTAGAAGCACATATGAATATGTAAAACATTTAGACAAATTTGTTTCTTATCAGATATTTGACTTCATCACCATTGCATGAATAATACCACCAGTTACTGGAAAATGTCTCCCAGACTATGAATCCTCTTGCTGGGCAAAGTATCACCATCTTTGTAAAGTGATCCACCTCATGGTGTTGCTCATTCTCTAAATCTTCCTCCAGGGATCCAGATTCTGCACCCAGAAAATGACCAACTGGAAAACTGCGGCAAGCAGTCTTATCCCCAGGCTTCTCTCCCCTCTCTGCCCCTACTCAGTGCTTCACTCACCGGGGGCACTGAATCCCCTTTGATATTGAATAAAAGGGCTGAGTGGGCCATCACAAACTTTTTTTTTTTTTTAAGCCAGTCTCCGGATTATAAACTTTCAGTGCACCTACCTGGCATCTTAAATGATTTCACAGACCATTTAATTGCATATGTACCCAAACAAAACCTCACTTTTTTTATTTTTTAAAAAGAAAAACAAATTCTGAGCTTAGGGCTGAAAGAGCCAAAGTAATGCGGTGAGTTGCGGCTTTCAGCTATTCTGGTCTTGGATTCTCAAGTCTCCGTATGGGGCGCACCTCCGGTCTCAACTACCCAGTCCTGGCTGAGCTTAGTATGTGGGTAGAGGGTGCGAAGGCACAGACCTGGTCCTCAAGGTCTTTTAGCTAAAAGTATCTTCAAAAATCAACCCTTGGGCCCGGAATCTGCTCTCACCTTGGGGAAACCACCCTGGGGCAGCGACTGGGTCCGCAAGCACAGCCCGGGAGGGTCCCACCAAGGCCAGCGTGACTCCGCGGGCCGCACCACCCGGAGGATATCACGGCTGTCTGCAGCTCAGGAACGTCTGCACCCCTCACAGTGCTTTTAGGAGAAAACGGCTGGGAAGCGCCAATTCCGGGTTTACTTGGATGCGCCCGCCATAGCTCGCTTGGCTCATCCCTCGTGGGGTGGGGACCGCCCCTGAGCCGAAGGAGGATGGGCTGCCCGGGGGACCGGGAAGAGTCGGGGTGAGGGCATGTCCCGCCTAGGAGGAAGCAAACCGAGTCGGGCACAGGAAGGAGGCGCCGCACACCCCGAGCCGGGAAGGCCCCGCTGTCCGGTCCCTTCCGCCACCTCACCTGCATGTTCGGCACGAAGCCTTTCTTGATCCTCCAGCAGTTTTTATTGATCTTTTCCAAGAACTGCAGCTCATCATTATAGTTGCGACTCATGGCGGCGACAACAGTGGCGGAGACTACCGGGTCCGCTTTGAAGAGCAAGCGGCTGCCGCGTTGTCCCTCTGCCCAGAGACCGCCTGCGCGCCCTTGAAGCGCAAGCGCAGTCGGTTTCGCTGGACCGGGTGGCCGACGGCAACCGGCGAGGCTCGAATCTCTTCAAACCAATCGCTTTCTCTTAAATTAGACTGCCCTCTAGGGTTTATTATTACAAAAAAAAAAAAAAAAAAAAAAATCTCTGCTAATTGTTTTCTT